AACCTTTTGAACATGTCCAAACATTCAAAAAAATATGGCAAGCAAGGCTTAAAAATAATTGACCTAGCTTCTACATGTTTCCAAGATTTTTGCAACATATTGAATGAATATTATTAATGAAGACATTTTGAAAGAAATGAAATGAGAGATTTTGCTGTATCTCACTTCTCTATCTCAAACTTTTACCTATTTTTTTCCAAAAGAGAAATTTCAAACATTAAGGAAAAACAATTGAGTAAAAAATTCCTTTGCTTTTCAAAGCCCTGAATCAATTATTGAATTAAACTTAGTGCCTGAAGAAAAGAATGAATTGTTACAGCTTAGTTTGTCATATACATTGAGGAATAACTATGAAAACTTAAGTTCGTCAACATTTTGCATTAAGATGAAGGAAGGCTTTCCTTTGCTACATCTTGCCTATAGTTCCATTCACAACTAGTTTGGAGTTTTCTGTCTTTCAACCCCACCCCAGCCCGCTTCCCCCGGATTGAAGTCAGGACCTTGCACTTGCGAGGCAGACATGGTGCCACTGAGCTAAATCCCTGGCCCTGGAGTTTTCTGTCTTAACCCACTTAAAATCAAAAGGAAGAAATAAATTGAATGGTGCAGAGATATGTGAGTAGCATTATCTTCTTGTGTTCCAGCCTAGAATGAACTTAGGAACAGGCAAGCGTACTCTACACATTAAATAAACTCTTCCCTAGCTTTTGCTTATTTTGTGATGTTACCTTGTAATATTTCCTGCTATATTTAAATCTTAATATAACATTGTACTTGATACCTTTGTTTTATTTATTTATTTACTTATTTATTTATTGGTATCCGGGATCAAACTCCAGACCTTGCGCTTGCAAGGCAGGTGGCGGAACCACTGAGCTAAATCCCTGGCCCTGTTATATTTAAATATTAATAAAATTGAGTGATTTTATGTTCATTGAGCAAAAAAATGAATGAGCTACTTTTGGGGGCCACAAATTCTTCTAGAGTTATTTGATATATAAAAGTGAACAAAATAAATACTATTTTCTGGTAAAGCTTATGTGTTTGCAAAGAGAGAGAGAGGGACATAGACATAATAAGCTTTAAAATCTTCAGAAGATAGTAAGTACTAAAGAAACAGTAAGAAGAACGGAGTTCAGAGAAATATTGGGGACCAAATCATGAAAGACTGTAGACCTTTATAGGGCCTCTGGCTTTTTGTTTAAGGATTTAAACAGGAGAGATGTGATTTGAGTTAATTTTTAAAAGGCTGTCTGCTATTTTAGATTCTTAAGACTAACTTAAATGTTACTTTCCTAAAAAAGTCCTTCTTAGTCACAGTAGGGTAAATGAAACCCTTCATTCTTGTATATTTTCTTTGCAGTATATAATTTATAATCATTTTATTAATTTATTACTGGCTCTGGCATCCTGCCACTCTGGAATGAATGCTCCATAAAAACAAAGATCAGCCAAGGGTGGTGGCCTATGCCTGTAACTCCAGCACTTGGGAGGCTGGGGTAGGAGGATCACAGAGTTCCAGGCCAGCCTGGGCTACCTGGTGAGTTCAGGGCCAGCCTGAACTACAGAGTGAGACCCTGTCTCAAAAAACAAAAACAGTGTCTTAAAAATTGGAGCTCATTTCCTGAGAACAATCCGCTGCTTGCAGGGGTAACATCTGACCCTTGCATCCCATGGGGGCAGAGTATGGGGGAACTGACACAGTGCTGCTCACTGCTATTTTTGCTGTGATTAATAAGTTGTGTCCAACCAGGCAGTTTCAAGTCCATTCATACATGTTTCTTCAGCAGAATCTCTTACCATTTTCTCGTATTCACAGGACTCAAGGATTAGGATGTAGACGTGGGGCGGGGGCCGTTATTCAGACTGTCTCTGGCTCCCAAAGATAGTCACCTCACAGGATGAATGCATTCACTCATCCCAAGATCCCCAAAAGTTTTCAACCCATTATAGCATCAACTTGTCCTAAATCTCATCTCAGTCTCATCAGTTCAAAAGACACAAAACTCATACATAAATCATCTAGATCAGATGTGGGTTTAGTTCTCTGTATAATCCGCTCTGGAGCAAAATTTTCTTAACTGTGGATGTGGGAGACTAGAAATCGTGTCCTGAGCTCCAAAACAGTGGAACAGGTATAGGATTACCATCGAAATTCTCATTCAAAAGGAGAAAATGAAGGACAAAAAGGAGTCACCAAACCATCACTTTCAAAGTCCGACTGGGCGAACTTCACTGGGTTTCAAAGCCTGGGAATGATATTGTGTGGTTTCTGTCTGCACTCTATAGCTGTGGCTCCACTCTCTGAACCATCCTTTTTAGAACAACACTAGCATGTCTCACTGATTTCATCAGCCTGTTTCCTGCCAGTAAAATTTCAGTAACCTGGCAGCCTTCCATTTCATCCTCACTGTTTCTTAACATAAGTCTTAAAGGCCTGGTGAGTAACAAGGATTCGCTCTGTTAGAGGAGTAGCTCCTCCGTAAATCTTTCCTTAATAAGCCCAGCTATTTTTGGCTTCTCCTGAGTTGACTGAGGAGATGCATGGGTCACACACCTCACCCCAGAACCCCCTGGGTGATTGAATGCCTTAACTGTAAACTTCCCAAGCACTAGCAAAAAGCTGTGCACGCTTACAAATGATTAAGAAGATAAATTTTGCTGTTTAACCACAATTTAAATCTTTTACAAAAATGAATTTTTAAAAAGAAGGATGTCCGACCACATCATTGGCTTTCTCTCGTGCATGTACTCCTCATTGTTGGTCTCTTAACTTTAGCATCTTTTCCAAACAGAAAACAGACTCTCCTCGTTTAACGACCTACCTGTTTAATGACTGTTCTGAATTACAACTCAGTGGTCACTTACAATCTGTCCTTTTTTTCCCACAGTTCTGTACATCTTGTTGAGCCTGTGTCTTTTTGTACAGTGTACTTTGTTTACACAGTGCTGTTATTTTTGCTGATTGTGCTGTTCAGTACAGTTCTGTAGGTTTATGTTCTGTTATACATTACAGTACTGCATGTAAGATTATGCACACTTGGGAGATGGAGGCAGGAGGATCCCTGTGAGTTCGAGGCCAGCCTGGACTACATAGGGATACCCTATCTCAAAGAGCCAACAAAAACAAAAAACACTAAAAGAATCGTGCAAATAACAGCAAAGTCATCAAGTTGGAGTTTCCCTTGTCCATTTCTTTGTGCCGAGTATTGTAATACTGTACAGAATTTCTCATTTAGCGACCAATTCATTTAACGACCTAGTCATCGGACCAGTACTCAGGGGTTAAACCTAGCGTCTGTATTCGGAATTTCCCAAATCATCAGATCCTCTTTCCATTTTTAGCACTTCCTTCAATTTATTCCCTTTCTCATTCTACCAGAAGCAATCAGGAAGCAAGTCACACTTCAAACATTTTGTTCGAAAATCTCAACTAAGCACGCAGATACTTCAGCTTTCTAGGTAACTAGCACAGGTAGAGCAGGGGAATTCACTCTGCTCTACCCACCTGAGCTCCAGCACCACCCTAGGAGCATCTGCAGAACCCCAGGCCAAAGCACTGGAGGCCCCTTTTTTCTCCCTCGCCCTGGCGCCCAAGTCCTGATATTTGGCCATCGTGGCCTCTCTGCCAGGCCTGGCACTCTGCGCTTCTCGTCGGGTGGGTTTCTCTGTTCTCGGAGAGGCCCACAGGGCAGTGCAGGGCCTTCAAGTCCTCTTCGGGTTCCCTCAGTGACTTCTCGGTCTTTTCTGCCACACCTCGCCCCCTTCCCCTTTCTCCAGGCGCCTTCCATCCCTCGGGGGTGTCCCCTGCCTCGCCCCCCCCCCCCCCCCGCCTCTCTTTCCCTGCCTCTCTTTCCCTGCCTGTCCCTCCCTCCCCTTTGGGTCTCTCTGGGCCTCCTGGTCACCAACCAGCCTCCCTGCTCTCAGAGGAGGGTGGGCTCCCTCAACTCAGCCCTAGGAGGGGGAAGTGCCCTTCCCTTCACCATCTGCCCAGTGCACAACCTTGCAGAACTCAACAGAAAGATCTGCCCCTGAGAAATGGGGGGAAGGAATCTGGGGTGTTACTTCATGTGTTTCTCTTTATGGATGAAGTTGGGAATCATCCACGCGGCAGACAGCCTTTTCTTTCTTCTGTGCATATCTGTTCTCAGCTTTGTCCATTACTCTTTTGGTATTTGGGCTTTTCTTTGCAATGCAGAAGTTTTTGGACCAAGAATACGATAGGATTGTGTGGTGAATGGTGCACATTTTCCTCAATTTCTCTTTAGCCTTTGCCTCCGGGGATTTCTGTGGCGGTATTGCTTCTTTTTGAAAAGGATGCCAAATATTTTAATCAATTTTGGCTAATTCGAGAGACATTTTGGAGTTTGGCTAATTTGTTCCTGCATTTAAATACGTCCCTGCCCCCTCAAGCCGCAGACTGTCCCATGCTGTGGTCCAAGCTAACCGCAGGGACAGTCACCTCATAGGCCCACTGTGAACGTGTTAACCCGGACCCTACACTGATCGTCTCCTGGCTATTGCATCTGTCCCTAAGCGAGACTGACCGTGAATTTACTACCTGTCTTGAGTTTACTGAGCTTCAAAATGACGATAATTTAGCTCAGTGGTTCCGCCGCCTGCCTCGCAAGCGCGAGGACCGGAGTTCGATCCCCGGTACCAAAAAAAAAGTTTGCTTAAATTAAAAAAAAAAAAAATCCTCATTAGAAGAGATATGAACGTAAATGAGTAAGTCGAGTGCTTGTCACATAGAAACAATTTAAGAAATATTAGCTTTTGTGGTTATTGTTCCCTGAAAGAAGACATCTTCAACGTCGCTACAGTTTGGAGCCAGAAAAATCTGTCTCTGGAGGAAGGAAATTCTCACCCGTCTGCCAGCCTCGAGTCTTCTTTTCGGCGTGGTCCTCGCGGATTCCACGCAGAGGCAACCGTGCGGCCCGAGTGATGCTCCTCGCTGTTCTGGTCCCCACTGCAGCGGAGGACGGGGAGCGGCGCCTGGGGTCAGCGCGCTCGGGAGCCGCCCTCGGCGGCGGGGCAGGAAGTGCTGGAGTCCAGGGAATCAGAATCCTCCCATGGCGAGCCCGGGACGCGCGCCCTGGCGGCTGCCGCTCCTCGCGCTGCTGCTGCTGCTGCCCCTGGGGCGGGCGGCGGACGCCGGGTGGGGCGGGGAGGGCAGCAGCCCGCGGCTGCAGAGCATCTTCCTGGGCCGCTGCGCCGAGTACATCACGCTGCTGAGCCCGCAGCCCGGGTGAGAGGCGGCGAAGGTGTAGGGGTGGCTCAGGGACCGCAGATCCTGGAGCAGAGGCGTGTGCTGCGGGTGGAGGGGGGGTCTCCAGGGCTGGGTTCTCCAGGTGAGGGCACTGTGTGGTCCAGAGGTGAGGGGCTCGTGCCTGCGTGCGTGTGTGGTGTGGAAAGTCTAGAAGCCCGAGCTGGAGAGGTGGGACTGAAAGACACCTGCCTCCGCCCAGTGCTTGGCCGGACCCTCAGCCCCAGTATTCAGGGCACAGCTGCAATTTTCTTTTCTTTTCTTTTGGTACCGGGGATGGAACTTGGGTCCCTGCTCTTGCGAGGCAGGCGGCGGAACCCCTGAGCTAAATCCCCGGCCTTAAGTTTTCTATTTTCTTAACAGCGCTGTGCCTCGTACTGATTTTTCTTTCTTCTTGGGAACCCTTTCTCTTTTCCTGTTTTCATATCTTTTTCATGTGCGGGTTGTTTTTATTGTGACTCATTTCAGGCAAATAGAAAAGAGCGGGGAATAAGGAACATCGATATTACCCCCACCTAGTGTAGAAAGGAAACATGACCAAAGCTGCAGGAAGTTTCCCCAAAAGCTGATGCGGACCCCAAGACTGGGAGCTGGCAGCACCGGCCATGCTTTCTGCTTTACCAGGGGCAAAGCCGTTCCCTGCACCCGGTGCTCTCTTTGGGTTTTGCTGCCTTCTGCCCTGGCCTCACCTGGCCCTGGGCCCAGCCAGACTTGGATAATAAGCCTGGCCCGGCTTCCACGTAGAGAACAAGGGCTGGGGACTTGGGGACAGGCGTGGCCCTGGGTTCAATCCCCAGCAATTAAAAGAGGGGAAAAGTGCCTGGAGGCGGTCTGGTTTACCTAAACTGTCACCTTCTCATTTGTAACCTTTTCCACTTGTCTTGTGACCTTAGGGCAAAACTGTTCCTAACTCTGAGAAGGCTTGTAGCACCTCCTGAGAAACACTCCCAGTGTCAGATCTCTCAGTCTGTCGCTTGAACCCTTTGTTGTCTTTTTTGTGTGAGCAGTAGCCCTGCAGTCCACTTACACAGAGTCGCTTGTGAAAGCATTCGTCTTTGGCTTTATTTTGACATGTACTTTTGCACAGGGACAAGAACTGCACAGCCATCTGGGAAGCCTTCAGAGTGGTGCTGGACAAAGATCCGTGCTCTGTGCTCCCCTCGGACTATGACCTCTTCATTAACCTGTCTAGGCACCCCATTCCCAGAGACAAGGTAATTACACCGTCTTGGATGAGTCACCGCCTTCCTTCTGTACTGATAGAGGGTGCACAGGCCAGCTGAGGGTGAGCTCAGCTGCCCCCAGCAGCCTGCAGTGTCTCGGGAATGTCAAGCAATGCACTGGGAAGATGTGTGCTGAGCTAACTCACTGGTGCCAAGACAGCTTTGGCCCCAGCAGTCACCCTAGATGTGCTGCCCACGTGTGGACCGAAGGAACTTTCCCAGGTCAGCAAGGTAGTACAGGAATCTCCACGAGACTTCAGGGTATGGCCAGAGCGTTCACACCGGGCCTCCACATCCGGCCAGTTCTGCATATCCTCCAGCCTAACTGGTCCTAACTGCCCTGAATAATTCAGAAAGCCCTCAGTGCCACTGTTCTCCCAGGAGAATCTCTCCTGCGGAGGGGTGTCACTATGGTATTTATTCAGTACTAGTTTCTTTAAGAAAACCACAGGTCTACATTGTGCCTGCACTCTAAGGTCTAATAAAATAAAAATAAATGAGAAAATCTCCATAAAATGCTTGCTTAGAATAGTACCTTGGCTTTAAAGACGGATAGCATTTTTATTTCTGTAACAATCTGATTTTATTGTGTGTGACTTATAAAGGCAATTAAATAGAACCATGAAGTCTTAAGTGGGATAGATTAGGAACATGATTTTAGGGTATCCATTGTATTTTGAATCTTACTGCCTCCCTTTTGGTAAAAAGGAGAAGCATAATTTTTGCTTATCTCTCTCATAGGTTTTGTGGGCTTTTTGATGAGCTCAGGAAATACTTACTGGCTACTTCTGTGTGCCAGGGATTACGCTGAGGGTTAAGGGTAGGATGTTGAAAAACAGCTTCACCTTGAAGACCTTCTAGTCTGGGCAGAGCCTGGTGACTAGGTAGCTCATCAGATGAGCCACTGAGCAGGGAATACTGTGATTTGCACTGTTATATGGAGACACTGTCTACAGTGGAGACCATAAGGGTTACTGTAAGAGTAATGTTTTTGGCGGACCTTACACCTTACACTCTAGGAAATGTTCTCTGATGTGGTTGCATATCATTCTAATCATAGCTGTGGATGTGGAAAAAGGATTCATCCTCTCCATTTTCCAAGTGTGGAAACCGAGACTCAGGGAGTTTACATGCCTTGGCCAAGAACACACATGTGTACACCAGAGACAAGATTCCAAGATTCCAACCCAAGTCTCTTGGTTTGTTTTTGTTTTTTGGGGGGGCCTTGATCTTCCCATCCTCCTGCTTCAGCCTCCGCAGTAGCTGGAATTAGATGTGTGCACTATAGCTCCCAGCTCTGTAACCTTTTTTAAATCGAAGATTTTACTACATGTACTAAGGTATTTTGTACTACTATGAACATACTTCGTTAATAGTTACATGATACCCTTGGAGTAAAGGGAGGAGAGATGGTAGCAGTCATCAGATGGGTAAATCAAGACAAAGATAGGAAAGTGTTGTCATTCTGCAGCAAGCCAGAGTTGGATGAGAAATGGGTTGCCTGACTTGTCTTGATGATACTGTGCCTAAGTAGTCTGTTTTGATTTTACCTTGTATTTTAATTTTTTCTTTTAGTCCCTGTTCTGGGAAAATAACCACCTCCTCGTTGCTGGCTATTCGGAGAACACCCGTCGCTTTATGCCTCTGTGTGATGTTCTGTATGGTCGGGTTGGAGATTTCTTGAGTTGGTGTCGACAGAAAAATGCCTCTGGTAAGACTCCTATACACATCACAAGAAAATCCAGGGCTCCTTTTACCATGCATTTGCCATTTGTGCTGGATATTTTCATGAGCATTTATCTCACTGATTCCCCTCAAATTCTGAGGTCCAGTATAGTAATTGATAATGATAGTAGGTAGAGACCACTTATCTTTTGCTAGGTGCTGGTCTAAGGACTTTATGCATCTTAACTCATTTAATTCTTGTGACAGACTAAGGGGGTGGCATGGAGGGGACCAAAAGAGGAAGGAGAGGCAGGAGGGGAGGGAAAAAGGGTGAAAAAAGAATTAAGATGTGTTATGTACATGTACCAACTCTCCACGAGTAATTTAATTATTATGTGCTGCAAACATGTACCAAAAAAAAGAAAATACTAACTAGAAAAATATCCCTGGTTTGTCATATGAAAAAACTAGGCACAGCAAGGGTAAGGAAGGCTGAATGGCTAGGAAACAGAGAGCAGTGTCAGGCGCAGGACCCCAGAGCCTGGGTTCCCGACTGGGCGTAGCTCTGCCGTACTGCCCTCACTTTCCATCACGGGAGACTGGGGCTTAGGGCAGGGTTAATGGTCTGTGTGCATTGTGCAGAACCAGGCTGATGTTAAAAATTAATTCTTCCGCGATACAATCTTTGAAATGAAATGTGTTTGTCTACTTGATTTGTAGGACTCGATTACCAATCCTGCCCTACGTCAGAAGACTGTGAAAACAACGCTGTGGATTCCTACTGGAAGAGGGCCTCCATGCAGGTAATCCTGGGGAAGGGGCTGGGGGCTGAGCATGCGTGACTCATGAACACAGAACAGGGGTTCAGAGCCTGGGTGCCCAGGCCATTACTGAACCTGTCTGAGCCTCACTTTCCACTTCTACGACATCCCAATTTCTTCTCTCTGCTCCATAAAGCTCAGAGAATTTAAGAAAATAATATACATATAGATCTTCTTTCTTTTTTTTTTTTTGACAGGGTCTCACTATATAGTCCAGACTGGCTTTGAATGTGTTACACTGATATGGAAAAGTTTTACATAACTTAATAGATTGAATATTAAGGTAGTTGTAGAAGCAAAATAAGTAATGTGTTCTTTTAAGATTTGCTTTTCCCTGTAACTCCTTGTTTAAGGTGAGGATTATCTGACTCTAACTGGTAATTTCATTAATCTAACAAAGTTACCATGCCAGGGTGAATTTACAATGTCTATGGCCTATCTTGTATCTGTGACTTGTAAATAGGAACTGGAATTGTATTTACACATCAAAGACCACTAGGGATGAGATAATGGCTAAAAAGGATATAAAAGGGAAATGCTGAACAAAGGGGGCGCAGATACTGACCAGACTAGTTTCTGGCTTCCCACCCACTCGCAAGAAGAAATTTTATTATTTTATCCGAAATCTGTGTCTCTGTGTATTTCTTTCTGAGATTTCTGCAACAACACAGCTGAGATTGAACTCAAGCCAACAATCCTCCTGCCTCAGCTCCCTAAGAGCTGGAATAACAGGCATGCACCACCATGCCTAGCTAAGAAAGTAAATTAAAGCAAGGTCTGGCACAGAAAAAGCACTCAGTAAATGTTACCTAGAAATAAGGACATGATATAGTCACTATTTCCATTATGTCATGGTTGTTATTACTATTTAAATTCAGGCGATATTTTTATTGGTATGTAAAATTGGGTAATCCCTGCATCGTGAAAGACCTTGTGACACCTGAGATCTGGGAGTATGGTTCAGAAATGTTCACAAACTTATGTTAGTGGAAGAGGAGACAATAGGAGGCTATGGCTGAGCTAAGACCTAGAAATGTTCCCCTTAAGGTAGACCTGCTTCTTAGAAAATATTGTCACCAGGATCGACAATAGTTATCAATAGCTATAAAATGCCGGGGATTACAGTTTTCATTTTTTGTCACCAGGGTTAGAGTAAAGATTGGAAACGAGAGGTTTAGATCCCTAGCTCAGTGCCTGGTCAAGAGCTGCAGAGTACGCAGTGTTAAATGTACTGACCAGAGGCAGGTGGACGCCGGGTGAGCTCTGGCGCCTGCCCCCTCAGGAATATCGTGTCCCTCTGGTACCTTCTTCCACTGTGAACTCCAGCTGTACACTGGGTCCATTGCTAGTCAGGGCAAAGGGACTTTAGCCAAACCCTAGACCGTGGCTGCAGCTGGGAGCTAGGCGAAGGGTCCCCACCAGGCAGGAAGCATTGTGTCGGGTTGTGCTCTCCTGGCAGCTCCTCTTCCTGTAGGTGTCATCTGGACAGCAGATTCCAGCCAGCTGCCGTGGTAGCCAGGGCCCCTCCCCTGGGAGGCTGTGGCCAAGTCATCACCTGAAGTGGGATCACAGCGCGAACCCAGGGGATGTAGCCACGTTCTCTGTGAAGGAGCCAGATCCTCTACTTAGGAGATTTGCCAGACATCAGATACTTCTTCCACTGCTATAATGGGAAACTAATAATAGGGCCCACAGCTTTTGAGTTTTTGAGGCCTTAGAATATGCTGGGGAGTTGGAGGATGAGACAGTCTAGTGTGTGTAGAGGGTTTGAACCTTAGCAGGTAAATATTCACTTAGTATTAAGTTATTAGTAGTATTATTTTTTTGTGTGTGGTGTGGAGGATTAAAACAAGAACCTTACACATGTTAGGTGAGAGCTCTACTGCTGTCTCAAGTCCAATTATTAAGTTATCTTTTTTTTTTTTGAGACAGAATCTTGCCATGTAATTCAAGCTGGCCTTGAACTCACTACATAGCCCAGGCTGGCCTCGAACTCATGGCTCCTGCCTCAGCCTCCCAAGTACTGGGGTTCAGGTGTCCATCACCACACCTGGTTATTATTAATTTATTTCCAATGTGTCCTTCATGACATAGTAGAGAAGATTCAATGGCTTTTCATGACAGAGAATGACAAATTGCTGAAAATAAAAGTGAGAATTGGACCTGCTTCTACCACCTTACTGCAATCCCTTTAGCATAGTCATCATCAGACCTCTGCATTTGAGGATTTGACTTTGTTAGAACTTGGATGCAATGACACATGGATGACATGGGCCGTATCGTTGTTTTGGTGCAGCTAATATTGGGCATCGCTTTTCTAGAGAGCAAATCCAGCACTGTGTATCTCCGTGATACATAATTCACTCTCGTCTCACCTTTATTCTAGTATAAAATTTTATGAGGGAAGTAATATGCTCCATTAGTATTCTGAACTGGAAATTTCTCTGGAGCTCTCTTTCTTGGGGGTTTCTAGTCTTTTGCTTATTTATTTGCTTATTTTATGTTGCTAGGGTTAAGCCCAAGGCCTTCCCAGTGGTAGCCAAGTGCTGTACTACATAGTTATATCCCTGATGCTGCTTATTTATTTTTAACCTAGTAGAGTTCATGCTCTGTCCACCTAATCTTGCATTTTGCTTTGAAGACAAACACTTCTATGCTGTTGCAAATACTGTGTAGACTTTTGCTAATCACTGGTTAATATTTCAAACATGTAAGTAAGTACCATGTGGGTGTTTTAAACTGGTTACTGTATTTTGGTACTAAAAGCAGTGCTGCAGTACAAATCTTTGTGCACAATGCTCGGGGTGGTCCTTAGCACTCTTTACCAAATATTTCTGATTTGTCTGCTGCACCCATGGTTTGCTGTTTCCATGCAATTTACAACAACCAATGAGGTACGAGTGAGAGGGACTTGTGTGACTTGTGGGTGGAAGCTTTCGAGAACCATTCAGTGATCTGTCACCATTTGATTCCTTCTCGGACAATGAGCAACTTTAGAGATGTGGAAACTTTCTCCTTTTGGGTTCTGAGGAAGACACATTGAGCAAGACCCCAGTGGGCATGTGGTAAACATGCAGTGTGAGCTTAAAGAAAGTGTTGTTTAAAGACACTGAGCTATTGTGGCTGTTTGTTGTGGCAGCTTGACCTAGTTTACTCCAGCAGATGCAATGCTGTGCAGTACAGATCATCTTATAGTTAGAGGCTGAGACATGGAATTACTGACTCTATGAATTTTTGACATTTGAAAGCAATTGGCTTGCAAAGTAAACCAGTTTGCCTCCCTATTTGCTGTGTGAAATACCAAATTTTCCCGTGTTGAGAATTATCGATAAAAAAGAACTCGTTTCATAGCAGGAAAGAGACATGTTTTAGCTTGCTAAAAATGATTCTGATTCTCTCTTCTTGCAGTATTCAAGGGATAGTTCTGGGGTGATCTATGTGATGTTGAATGGTTCAGAGCCAAAAGGAGCCTATCCCATCAAAGGGTAAGAACTCCAGCACCAACAAATACTGTAATGGTTGCCTTTGTAAATTCAGGGAAAGCAGAACAGTTGAAGGAATTGGCGACCAGAACCAGGTCTGTACACTTAAACCATTAGTAGCTGATGAATGCATGAATAAGTAACCTAAAATAAAAGTTAAGGGGCCCCAGCAGATTCCGGGACTGGGTGAGGCCGCAGCTGTTCCCTTTTGCCTCAAATCCCCATCCCGGTTAAGCTGTTTCTGGCCTCCCTCACCTTCACTCCCAGGGACCCAGCCACACCCTGGAGGTGACTCCTCAAATTCAAGATGACCAATGAAGAACCTCTTTCCAGAAAGGTTCCACAGAGAAACAGACAGACTTCAAAGTTACGGCGGGAGATGAGCTAATTCTAAGATGGAAAGAGTAGGAAGCATATGATCAAGCTTTGGAGGTCAAGGCACAGGTCTTAAACGATGTAACTGGCTTAAGGGAGTTCAAAGAAAGGCTGAAGCAGCAGCAGCAGGAGTCTGTACACAGGGAAAACACCTTGTAATGGGACTGGAAACCAGCAGACAAGTGTGCACCCCAAATCCAGTACCTCACACAAGTCCAGTAGCCAAATGTGGCCCAACTGAAATCAAGAATGGTAGACCCAGTGAACAACTGGTTTTTCCTAAAAAATGAAAGGTAAACTGGAACAGACTAAGGGCAAACTGGAACAAGCCCCAGATGAACTGAGTGCCTGGAAGTTTACACCTGATCGGTAAACAAATCTTACTCCTCAATCAGAACTTCTCTGATGGGCTGTGGCAGGACAGCCAAGTACTCATTCCCACACCAAGACTCAGGCTTTTTGGGCAAAAGAACCCCCACACTTATACTGTCCACTTTGTAATGGTTAATGTAAAACTTACCAGACGAACCTCGTGTTTCAGCTCCTTGGTCTCCCTCTTCCCCTTGCTTCAGAGGTCTGACACCTTCGGACTATTCCGAAGAAGAGGGCACGTTTGAAAAATTCCTCTTCTAGAACATGTAGACGCTTGAGAAATGTTTCTGTTTGAAGAAAACTGAGGGAGAAACAGAAGTTTTGAGTCTGTGGCACATGATATCTTCAGATAGTTTAGAGGATTGAAAAAATTCAAATCATGAATTGAACATGTAAAACTCCAGTTAAATGTAAAAAGGGAATATGCATCACTCTTAGCCTTGAGCACAGTGACTTAGAGACACTGTGTATCAGTTTTGTCAGTAAGACTGTGGACTTCATGACTGTTGTTGAACTTCTGGGTCAAAACTCAAATGAGGGAAACTTTGCCTTTAAAGGGTTTATTGACTAAGAACCAACTTTAATAGTCATGAGAGAAATAATAGATGTTGGTAAAGTAGTAGATATTTAACCATTTAGTGTAGGGCTCTGTATTACTTAATGGCACCTAAGTCAATGTGTTTTGTTTTTGTTTTTGTGTTTTTGTTTTTGTGGTACTGGGGATCAAACTCAGGACCTTGTGCTTGCCAGACAGGCACGGTGCCACTGAGCTACATCCCTGGCCCCCGTTAATCCAGTTTTAATCAATGGTTTGTTCTTTGAATGGTTGCAAAAACTACAGATAATCTTTTTTTTTTATAATTTCTTTTTTTTGGTACCAGGGATTGAACTTGGGACCTTGCGCTTGCGAAGCAGGTGGCAGAACCACTGAGCTAAATCCCTGGCCCTACTATAGATAATCTTAACTAAGGATGGTACAACTGTGGAGAAGTGGTATCACATTTCAACTTAAACTTTTTAAAGCATTATAAACATTTATTTCACAAGTAGGTTAAATAAGGATATTGGCTGTGATGAGGATCACTGCATTATTTTTTTCCGTAGTGAACTTTATTAAACCCTTATCCCATTCAACAGGCACAGGTTAGGGGCATTGCCTTCGGTGTTAATGGGGGAATGTGTTCCTTCATTGAATTTGGGCCTTTTGTGTTAACACTTTTGATATTAAATTAAATGTTTCTTGGAAAAAAGTTAGAAAAAAAACCCTTAAAACTGTTTTGAATGGTAGTTTGCAAATCAACTAAAAGACAAAAAGGGAAAGTATAATATTGCTTTAGAACAGTGATGGTGAAACCGAGGGCCCAAACTGCAATGCAAAACCCACTTATTTATTGTAAAGTGCCGACACTGCAATTAAACCTGAATATCCGATGCTGCTGGGGGTGATTTGGCTCGCATGCCAACGGAGAAGGCTCCGGATGCCCAGTGTGGCATGTGTGCCATAGGTTCACCACCACTGCCTAGAACTTTTAGAAATGTTCCTCCAGGCTGGGGCACTGGGGATGCAGTGCAAAACGGAAAAACAAAAACAACTCCTTGTCTCAGTTTTTTTGCAGATTTTGAAATTCCCTACTTGCAGAAGGATAAAGTCACACAAATAGAGATCTGGGTCATGCATGAAATCGGAGGACCTAATGTGTAAGTTTTTGTGCTATCAATGATGGTAATTATATTTTTCTTGGCTGTGCTATAGTTAGGTCCATTTTACGTTTTCAATTTGGGAGAAATGCCAGGCTTCTGTTTCTGTTGCGGTTGATAGAGACATAGGCCTTACTTTCTGGGAATGCCACTAGCCAGTTTTGATCTGAGAGGGAAAACCTCCTTTATCCAGCCAAGGAACACAGTTCCTTTCTGAGTGAATTGGGCAGTTTTGGATAGGTGAGTTCTGTTTGTTTGTTTTTTTGGTACCGGGGATCGAACTTGGGACCGTGCGCTTGTGAGGCATGTGGTGGAACCACTGAGCTAAATCCCTGGCCCTAGGTGAGTTCTTTATGTGTATGTGAAGTTCAAAGCCAGTTTCTCTTTCTGGTCATTAAAGCCCCTCACCAGGGTCTTCAGAATCAACCCAGGGACTACAAGATGAAGATTTTATTCTCAGAGAACAACCAGCTCCACCACTGGGTTTCAGATAACGTGGTGAACAAAGTTCTAAGATTCATATTTCTCTGGGAAACCCCTTGAGTTTATATATAAATGGAAGCTGAACTCATATGTCTAACCAATAAAGGACACTCCGAGCACAAACTCAAGGCAAAATAAGTTAAACCTATCAGGTTCAGTAATGTTTCAATGAGACGTCAGCCTACAGCAGCCATAATGGGCCTTCGGAGGCAAGCTGAGGCCTCGTTCTTCAGAGCACAGATGCTACTTGGAGGATAGAATTGTCCAACCCAAGGAGTGGACGTGCCATTAAACATGTGTCCCGAGAGAACCTCAGCAAATTCTGCTTCCCGCCCTCGCTAAGATTCACCATATAATGGGCGTTACCCTTCCCCAGCTCTTAGGCAACAGTCTGCAATAAATTTGCAAACTACGTATTGCACAAGTTACACCAAGATCAGCATTTCCCTTTCCCGAAGACAGATGATACTTACTGCAGTGTGAAGGATGCATGGTGGTGTTCTTATTTCTTGTGAGAAGCTACTCTTTGTCTAGAAGTCATGCTTACCTGTTCCTTTAATGGATCTGTTAAAGTTTACTCTTTGACACTACCTCTACTGAGAATAGGGTGCTATAGTTCACTGTCATCTTAGCTCAGCACTTCTGCTGCAGGAGAAGGTACAAAAGGGTCAGAACACCTGCTGGTAAGTTTGAGCCACAGGCAAAAGTACAGTTGCAGGTCATGAGCCAAGAAAGTAGGGGTGTTGGGCTTCTCAGATTTTAGGAACAGCAGGAACACTGTAGTCAATAAAATTGTACTGTATTAGAGGTTATTGCTAAATAGATGTTAGCTGTTCTTGTTACAAAAAGTAACTATATGAAATGACAGATCTATTAGTCCGTTTCATTGTGGTAACTTTTATTATCTACATGTATCTTATAACAGTGGTAAGCCTCTGGTATATGTAATGTAATTTATTTTCTAAAAAACTCACAGGAAGAGAGCTAAAAACAATGTGATTAATGTCTGATTGAAGTTAGCAGGGCTTTGTCTGCCTTTATTCAAAGAAACTGTAATGTAACTATGGACTCTTCTCTGGGTCTAGGCATCCTGGGGGCTCCTTGTTATTGCTTACTGAAAAAAACCCAACAATTTTCTGGGCAATCATCCCATATTTTGGCAAAGTCCTAAAAAATTATGCCTTTGAACACTTTATTTGCTTTTTTTCTTGTAATGCCTGGCATCCAACTTCTGTGGAAACCTCTTCCAATTACTCATTTCCTTTCTGTACACCACCTGTCTGCCAATTTTATAACAGGGAGGCTGTTTACCTTCTGGTCCACATAAACTCAGGCCGGGCTCTGTCTATGACATGAGCACTGTGCCTGTTGACCACAGCTGACATTCTATGCCTTTATAAGTGCTCCCTGCTTACCTGAGGCATCAAGAGGGCGAGAATCTTTTGGTGAGAGTGTGGGAAATGCACGTTCCCATGATCAATCAGAGTGTAATTTGGCAGTACGTAGGGAGAACCTGAAAATGGATGCAAAATTTTGCTACCAGAAACCCTGTTGGTAGAAATTTATGCCGAGGAATCAAATGCTTCAGAAGGTGCATGACAATGAATTTTCAACCAGGTTTGTTGGAGTATAAATTGCATTGGAGTGTGAGAATCAATTAGGTCTTCCACAGAAGGAATTTGTTTTGAGTTAGGATCTGTTATGTCAGGGAGACCACGCAGGGATGAGCAGTAACGGCAGAGAAAGATATGTGTGTGTGTGTGTGTGTGTGTGTGTGTGTTGGCAGAAACAAAACACATTGGCTAGCAGAGTGCCATTGCTGTATCTGAACATCCTCATGGGAACATATATGTTTACAAAGCCTAGAAGGATACACAGTAGCCCCCCATTTACGGGAACCTGACCCAAAAGACTTCCCAGAAGTGTGAAACTGCAGAGAGTACTAAACCCCATACAGGCTACATTTTTTTCCTATACATACATAGCTATAATACAATTTAATTTACAGATTGGGGATAATAAGAGATTAACAATAATAATTGGTAATAAAATAGAACAATAATAATAATACACTGCAAAACAAATGATATGAATGTGGTCCCTCTCAAAATATCTTACTGAATTGTACTCATGCCTACATGGTGAGATAAAATGATTTATCATTCACTGTGGCCATAACTTTTGGAGCTGGAGGAGGGACAGCAAACCCAGCATAAATTTCTCTTCCCTTTTTCACACTTTTATGGATAGATGTGCTCCTCCCATAGCACTGAGCAACCTCAGTATATGATTTTTTTTCTTTTCTAATGAAGTCTAAAGCCTTCACCCATACACTTCAAGGAAGCACAGTGCAGCGTCTCTGGGTATATCCAAATTGCCAGCACCAAATTGCTTGGGGCCATTATTGATAGAAAGAGGATTATCTAAGCTCAAGGACTGTCCTCCACGACGGGCCACCGGATCACTGAGAAGGCCACTAAGTGACTGACAAACAAGTCACACGGTGTGGACTTGCTGGTGACAGAGGGTTGATTCATGTCCTTGGGAAGGGGACAGTGGGAGATTTCATCATGCAATCTAAAACTGATGAATCATTTATCTTGGGGGTTTTCCACTTACTATTTCTGGGGCAAGGTTAACTACAGATAACAAAAATTATGACGGGAAAACTGCGGGTAAGTGGGTGCCAGCGTGCATGAAAATGTCAGCAGCAGCTATCTCTAGGGGTATGGGATGTGAGATTTGGGGTAATTTTTTGTTTTATTTTCATTTTCTAATACCTAAAGGAGCGCATATATTTGTTGTTACCTAAAGTTTAAAGTTAATACTCTGTAGATTGAACAAAGTCGCTCGTAGCCTCGTTCATGCACCCCCTGGACCTCACCTCGGACCTGTGTCTGGGCTGGGTAATAACCACACTATGCAGACTCTAGAGGGAGAGCAGCTCAGACCCTCGGATGCTGTGTGTTTACTGGAAGCAGCACTAATGGCCCACAGGCTTTCCCTTCTCTGAGAGAAGGAAGTCGGGAGCAGGTGTTCTTAAGAAATTTCAGTCCAGGTAGAATCAGCGTTTTCTTCTCCCTCTCCCTCCTCTCGTTTTGTTTATTCAGTGTTGGAAACGCATTCTTCCATTTTAGGGAATCCTGTGGAGAGGGCAGCGTGAAGATCCTGGAAGACAGACTGGAGGCCCTGGGCTTCCGGCACAGCTGTGTTAACGATCACACGTAGGTGACCAACGATGGGAGTTTGAAGGGCTTTGCCGAGCAGCAGCCGCAGAGGCCGTGACACTGAGCTCTCCGGCGCCCTCCAGAGGTGTGGCAGGGAGGACCCTCCCGCCAGCACTTCTTCCTGGGCCCAGCCCGCTTCAGAGTCCATTTCGATGGCAGCGAAAGGACAGGCAGAGAACTGTATCAGCCTGAGTCAGTCTCCTCCTCACTTTGCTTGCTGTGGAGCAGCCAGAGAGAGAACAGGAGTGCGCTTCTTCCACTCTGGGTCCCTGTGGGGTCCTCGTCGATGACAGACCCAGAGGTGGGAGTTTGACAGAGTGCAGACAGATGCAAGGAGACCATAAGCCAGTGAGAAAATAGTAATCGCGGCATTTACTGTGGGCATTAGGACTGCGCACTTTTTATACTGAGACTTGGGTGTCATTTGAGGGCCTTCTTTCTTCTTGGACATTAAGAAAGCTTGACTAGCCCTGGGGTAGTTGTGAGCCCTCCCCTGGGCCCAGAACCTGGCTCTGCCCTCTGTCTCAGCCTTTGGTGTGCAGGCCCTCAGTGGCTGTCCTGCGAGCCTGCGGGTGTGTCCGTGTGGAAATGACATCATCATCCCTCCCCTCCTTCCCTCCTAAAAGCTCCAAGGGCGCCATTATGCTGCCGGCTGAGCAGAGTCCCCACTTCACACCTCCTCATGGGAAGGAGCCCAAGAGTCTATTCTGTCCTCTGTACCATTTCACTCATATAGCACTGACAGTGCTCTTGGGGAACTCAAATGTTAGATGTTATTTATCACCCCTTTTTGAAAAACAAAACAAAGCAAATATACTTAGAAAACATAACCTATGTTTAGAAAATATACAAAGTATCCAGGTGGATGAATATTCACAAGTTCAACATGCAGCCAGCACTCAGGTCAGGAAGTAGAACACAGCCAAGTGTGGTGACGCACACCTGTGATCACTCGGGAGGCCAAGGCAGGAGGATCATGAGCTCAAGGCTGGCCTGGGCTACATAGCAGGTTTAAGGATGGCCTGCACTAGTGAGACCCTGTCTCAATGGCTGCTCCCCACTCTGAAGAGAAGCAGAACATAGCAACCCCCAGAGTCTCCCCAGCCTCCCTGTCAGTCACCACCCCCTGCCTGAATCCAAGCAGTGTGTTTTCAAGCCAGGTGTGGTGTCATACACCCAAAGTCCTGGCTCCTCAGAGGCTGAGGCAGGAGGATTGCTCAAGCCCAGGGCTTGAGGACAGCCAAGGCAGCCTGGGCAGCATAGTGAGACCCTGTCTCCCCTAAAACACAACAACAAAACCCCAGAATTTTAGTACATTTCAAAAAAGAATTCTTACTATACAACAGCTCATTGATGAAGACCACTGTGGCTAAAGTTCCCATGGTTACCGGCTACCTCTCCAGGGAGGTGTGTTCTGCAGGCCACTGGGCCACCTAGCAGAGGCTGGGCCAGAGTCCAAGGTCTCCTCTCAGCTCCCACTGTCCCAGGTCCCTGCACCTTCCTCCCCCCTCAGCTCCCCCGGAGCCCTTTCATCGGGAAGGTGGTGGTTGTATTGCTCCTGAGGAGCAGAGAGCAGATCACAAAGGGTGACAAAGGTCAGCTCCCTCACCTCCTGCTTGGTTTCCGCTGAGTCACACTGAGTATTCAGTAAGCACAATGCCTTCTCTGGGCATAAAACAATCAACAGCCATCTCTGTCTGTCTGTCTGTCTAGATATCTATCATCTGATCAATCATGCACAAGAGAGGCAAAAGGATCACTTGTGCCCAGGAGTTTGACACCAGCCTGAGTTGGCCCAGTGAGATACAGTCTCAAAGCAAAAAACAAAACAAAAAAGCCAACCCAAAATAATATCTGCCTCGCATACTTTCCTGGAAAGCGAGCTAGTCATCAGAGGAAGCGCGTTGTGGGCCACACAATAAATACTACCTAATTTTTGGTTTTGTTTTATTTTTTGAGATAGGGTTTCACTATACAGCCCAGGCTGGCCTTGAGCTCTCTACGGAGACCAAGCTAGCCTCCAACTTGTGATCGATCATCCTGCCTCAGCCTCCCATGTGCTGGGATTATAGGGGAGCAGTACCACAGGCTGGCTTTTGAAAAAGAATAGTTTGTATATCCTTCAAGGATCCAGACTTTGTATCTCCAAGAATTTTCAGGTGCACCATAAATATGTGATGGATGTGAGTTATTTAAATAATCCCTTAAACACTTCCAGGCATGGTGGTGTATGTCAGTAATGCCACCACTTGGTAGGCTGAGGCAGGATGACCAGAAGTTTGAGGCCAGCCTGACTACATAGTGAGACCCTGTCTCAAAAATCAAATCAAGGGCTGGGGATTTAGCTCAGTGGTGCCACTGCCTGCCTCGAAAGCACAAGGTCCTGAGTTCGATCCCCCTTACCAGAAAAACAAAAAAATCAAATCAAAACCAAACACAACCCCCTGATTTTCTTTCTGTAGACCAGTGAAGCTCCTGATGTGCGTGGATCACAGCACTCATCCTGACTGCGCCTTCGCCTCGTAAGTAAATATTTGGGTTCAGGCCTCCTTTCTTTCCTGGGAATCCTTACTGAAGTGCACTGCAACTTTGTATCCACTCCTCAGCTGGCTGGCAGGAGGACAGCAAGGTTGTCTGGGGTTTGAGGGGACAGATGCCCATTGAGCGAGAGCCTCAGGTGGCCCGGGTGTGGGTAGTCTCCGGCTGCAGGGTCACTCGGGCCCGTGCGGCTCCTCCTGTCTCCTTTAGGGCACCCTGTCGCGGTGTAGGTCACATGCAGTTCCTTTCTGTGCAGCCCATTGTTGTCCACAGTGCCGTCCCGAGGGGCGGGAGGCCATCTAGGCCCTGCTCAGGATGAGGGCCGCTGAGGTCTCCAGCCGGGGCTCTGTGGTCACCATCGCCTCATTGGGTCGCCTACCCGGAATGTGGGCCCAGGGTCCTCACCAACGACGCTCAGGCTCAGGGAGATGAAGGGACCCCAAACTGGCTAGAGCAGGGATGGCGAATCCAAACTGCAACCTCAAAGCCACGCACACGTTGGTGGGGTTTACTGGAATCAAGTATTTGAGAACTCTTTGCTTGTTTAGAGAAAGCTGAAGTATTTATAAAAAGAAAATGTAATATTATAAAACTTCAGTTTAGACATTTTAACCTCAAATAACTGGAGCTAAAAACTGCCAAGGAAATTAAATAAATGTGAAAAGCCATTAAAAGTTGTCAGAGTCAGGCATAGCAATGCTCTCCTGTTGTCCCTGCACTCTGGGAGACTGAGTCAGGAGGGTTACAAGGTCAAGTCCAGTTCGGGCAATTTAGTGAGACTTTGTCTCAAAACAATACATTTTTAAAAAGTCTGGTGACGTATTAGTGTGAAGAAACTGTGAGTTCCATCCCTGCTAGTAGGAAAAAAAATAAAAAGTTGTCAGAGCTCAGCAGGTTCTTAACTAGAACAACACAATTCATAACTTAAAAATAAATGTTGTATCTGAAAATCAGACTTCTGAATTTATAAATTTAATAGCAAGAATTTTAAAAACCAGAATAACTACAAATGGTGCATAAAACTGACCCCAAGTATAACCTCATGTCAGTGAGAAAAGCTTATTAGCTAAAATTTGACAAAGTGACACTCAGCACATGAACACAGATGTTTCTGTTTGGACATAAGTGGCAGAAATAGGTCTGAGAAGATAAACTCCAAGTTTCTAACAGTTGTTACTTCTGGGAGGAAAGGAAAAGCTAACAGGAGACTCTCAATATGACTGTGTTTAGTTCTACATTATTGTATTTTCGTACAAAATATACCTATCCTTATATTAAGTAGCTATCTAAGAGCAAAATTAGTGAACCAGGTCTGGGATTGAACCAGAAGTGTAAGCATAGAAAATGTCCAGCAGGAGGAGCCATAACACAAACTTGTGGGCGAGATTCCTTCTGCAAATAAAGGTGCCACCAACATTCAAATCGAATCAGGAATTTTTAAGGCCACTCTTCCAGTCCATCGGATTTATTCTCAATCTAACATTAGATGGCCTCATGATTTTTTAAATTCACGTTTCCATTGGTTTAACAGAATTCAGTAATGTCTGTTAAAAAATCCAGAGAAAGCAAGTTGCAGATTTCATGTGCTTAAATAAAAAGGGGTGTGTGTGTGTGTGTGTGTGTGTGTGTGTGTGTGTGTGTGTGTGTGTGTCCGTCTGTCTCCTTCCTGGAAGAACAGTCCTAATCATCAGCGGCGATTCTCTCTGGAAACCAGGAATGGAGGGACTCTGAGACTTTATAACTTTCTGCCCTAGTGAACATTTTCTACCGCGTGCGTGTGTATTTTGGAGGGGAGGTGACACACACCAGTACTGACCCTTTTTCTATTTCCTGGTTGATTTTCAGGTCAGCGATGGCGGCGGCTGAGAGAGGAGCCCCGCCTCGTTCTACAGCACACAGCTCCACCCTCCTCGCGGCTCTGTTAGTGGCTTTGGCTTCAGGCTCCCAGATGTGATCTCAGCTGTGCTGTTTTAGCAGCTGCCAGCCACACCTGCCTGTGCTGTCTTCCGTCCCGCTCTGCATTTGCCAAGCAATCCTGTTCCCCAAAGATGCTTCTGTCTGGTAAAATGATGTCCTGAGGTCATTTTTCAGTGCTTTTCATGCTCAGGATTCTGGAAACAAGGAACTAATTTAGTCCTGTTTGCAGGTTAAATCTGTGGCCTTAAAATTAAACCAATTTTTGATTTTCTTGCTTTTATGATAGTGCCAAGTCTTGAGACCCCCCAAGTGCTGCATAATCTTTTTAAAAAAATTTTTATTTTTTTGGTACCAGGGATCAAACTCGGGACCTTGTACTTGTGAGGCAGGCAGTGGCACCACTGAGCTAACTCCATGGTCCCTTGCATAACCTTATACAATCAAATATTTAGAGGGGCCGGGGATTTAGCTCAGTAGTTACATCACCTACCTTGCTAGCGCAAGGACCCAAGTTCAATCCCCAGTACCCAAAAAAAAAAAAAAAATTTAGAAAATTCTAATAGAACAGTATTTTGTATTTTCAGTATTTTTCTGTATCTCCAGAAGTGTACAATGCAGGGTGGTTGATATATGTATACCATATAATATATACATATATATCAGATATGCAAATACTTCCATCTAAAGAGATTTATTTAAAGGCTACATATGGTAAGGAAACAATCCAAATGTCCAATAATATTTACATATTTATTGGAACTGTTTAGACCTGCTTGCCTAAGCTTTGGTGTAGCTGTAGGATGGAATATCATCCAAAAGTAAAAGTCATGCGTATCAATGCAGATGGCCTTGAACTGGGGAATAGATAAATTAACTGGGTGCATCTCCACAATGGAATAGTGCTCAGCGGTGAAAAGTGATTAACTCTTGATAACGCCTGCAGCAGCATGGATGAAACTCAAATCATTATGCGAAGGGGAAGATGCCAGACCAAACGACTGTGCACTGTGTGGCTCCGTGTGTACAGCCTTCTGGGAGGGGCAGAGCTGTAGGAAAGAGAGCAGGTCAGGAGCTGCTGGGGAGAGGGGAACGGGTGTCAGGACGAGGCAGAGGGGCCAAGTTAGAGGGACAGGGAGCGAAGTCCTGGTCTGGTCTGTACCTTGATGGTGGTGGCTTGGTACACGAATCTGTGTATTTTCATCACTCTCAGAGCTATACATCAAAAAGAATAAATCTCACTGTATTTAAATGAAAGGAAATGTCTTCAAAGAGTATTTAATAATATAGGAAAACTGTCAGTGATAAGTGAAAAAATACTACATAGGTTATAAAGCTATTATACAATTCAGTTGTTTGAAACAATACAGATTAATTAATTTTTTGGTTTTTTGGAAACAGGGTCTTACTGTGTAGTTCAGGCTGGCTTTGAACTTATGGTGAACCTCCTGCCTCAGCCTCCTGAGTGCTGGGATTACAGGCTTGTACCACTGTTATCGGAATCTCCTGGTTTTTGAATTTCCTGGATGGCTACACCAAAATGCTACCTGGTACCTTCTTAAAGTGGCTTGCCAAATAAATATTATTGGATTTTAGGTCGCTTGCCTCTCCTTCTGGAGTTAGATTTCAGGTTATTCTCCTCTAGAGCAAAGAGATGAATGAAATGAGCAAAGAGCAGTGGCAAAGTTTATTTGAAAAAATAAAAGTGGAATGAGAAGAAAGTGGCTCAGCAGAGCAAGCTTGGGCCAAGTAAGAGGAAAAATCAAGACAAAGTACACCCTAGAGGAAGCAGGACAAGCTATTATGAGGAAAGGCACGACAGCAACCTCTTCTTGGCATCTGTGCCCTTTCATGAGTCCAAACCTCAAGGAAACCCAGGATAACTTCTACATCCGGGTCCTGAGAGGTGCCGCTGGGATCCCATGCTTCAGGCTGAGGCCAGGTCTAGGCACCCTATTGAAAACCCCCTCAAGTTCTCAAGGCAGGTGCCTTTTTTTTTTTCAGTAATGGGGATCAAACTCAGGACCTTGTGCTTGGGAGACAGGCACCGTGCCACTGAGCTAAATCCTGGGCCCTGGAGTTTTTGAGAGAAGTCCACGTGCCGGGCTTTGGGAGCTGTTTGGGGCATGTGTCTGGGGTCATGTGATTAATGGGTCACGCCCACTTCACCAGACAGCTTTACCATGCCCTAATCTCCCGTGTCAACACTCCCAGCTCCAACATAGTACAAATTTAATAAATCATGTCATGAATATATGTTCATGTGATATACATATACAGTAAATGAGGCAAAAGGGAAGGAACTGAACCAAAAGGCAGAGCAAACTAATACTGGATAGTGGTCATGTCAGTGATGTGTGTGTGTGTGTGTGTGTGTGTGTGACAGTGGGATCTGAATCCAGGGTTTTCTCACTGAGCTGCATCCTCAGTCCTTTTTAAAAAAATGTTTTTGAGACAGGATCTTCCTAAATTGGTATTTCCTAGGCTGAGTTTGAATTTTCGATCCTCTTGCCTCATCCTCCCAGAGTGCTGAGATTTCAGCCCCATGTGGTGCAGTGATTCTATTTTTTCTTCTTTTTTTTGGTACTGGGGATCGAACTTGGGACCTTGCGCTTGCAAGGCAGGCGCCAGAACCACTGAGCTAAATCCCTGCCCCTCTATTTTTGACTCTTAACTTTTTGTATTTTCCGATGAGGATGCAATATCCTATTATCATAAAAAAATGTAAAAACACACATACCATAAGTGTAGAAATTTGACCCAATAAAAAACATTTTCAGAGGAGACAAACAACAGCTGGTCTCAGAGGTCTCTCTGTTCGCTACTCCTTGTCTACTCCATAGCAAGTGTGTGTGGCCAGGAATGTGGCCTCCTTACTTCTGATACCCCAGGGACCAGCAAGTGTCGGGGTGGCTTGTTGCCTTCTGGGATCCCTGTAAACTTCTGGAGAACCAGAGAACCATGCAGCCAGCAGAGTGACACAGTGCTGCTTGCTCCCAGCCCTGCAGAGCTGGAACTCTGTCTTCCAGACACCTCCATCCCTCGATGCCAGGGGAGGCTCTCCCTGCAGTGCTGTTGCTCAGATTTGTGCACATTTGAGCAAATATCCACTCTGCAGGTGGGATACTACACAGCTTAGTGACCAATGCACACAGCAAATACTTGGAGTCCAGGCTTGTGGCTGCCAGTCAGCTCAGACATTGTCCTGGGCAGTCTTCAGTCTGTCTTGCCAGAAATGACGTAACAGCATTCTGATGACTCCTCTGGCTTTCTTCTTTCCTGGTTCCTTCTCATCTCCCACCAGTGCCCTGCCCTTGTGGGGTCTACACCAAGATCTGCTCCTCCCAATGGTGTTCAATCCAGAGATCGGCTCTCCTCTGGGCAGGAGAGGCCAGGCTACGAGGCCATGGTCGCCATCATTATCTGCTGTGTTTGAATACGGTTTGTTCCCCTGGACAAAGGCAGGAGTTTAATCTCCAGAGTCTTACGCTCATTTATTAAGACGGTAGAACTGAATCTCACTATTGTGTTTAGGGAAGACCTCTGGGAAGTGATGCGATCAGATTAGGTTGTTAGGGTGGAGCCCCCGTGATTGAACCCTGGTGGCTCAAAAGGAGAGGGACAGAGACGACACTGACAGAGGTACACACACATTCCCACCCTACCAGGGCCCTCGCCAAGCCTGCCCCATGCTGTTTGGACCTTGGGCCTCCAGGACTGTGAGCAGAAATAAACCCCTTCGCTTTATAAAGCATCTTGCCTCCATCCTTTTGTTTTAATAATCAAAAAACAGACTTAGTATACCACCAACCGCCTTCATCCTCCTCATCACAGCTAGCACTATGTGACACTCTTCTGGTCGTCTTGCCTTGTACACACCGAGGCATTTTTGGAGATGGTGGATTTTTTCTCCTCTATTGCAGAACACTCGGGCTAGGCTGTGGCAGGGCACAGTCGGGACAGGGAGCGGGTGGGGGTCGGGAAGCAGGTCAAGCCCAGGAAGGTAAGGGGCACAGACCGTGGACCCAAGACTGTAAAGGAATGAAGGCCTGGTGTGTCTGGGATGTGCAGCCACCAACGTGCCTTGTGACAGTGGTGCACACGTCTCAGAGACGCTGCATCCGTCAACTGAGCTGCTTGCCGTAACCCAGATGTGGCCCACTTTGTCTCTTTCGGGGCCTTGGAACATTGAACATGCTGGTCTCTCAGCAGCGACTTCCCTTCCCGCTCGGCACCCACAGCACAGATGTGCAGCCCTGCCTCCATCATCACCTCCTCTCCAGAGCCTTTCTGCTCGGTGCTCTTTGCTCCTCTGCCTGCGTGGCTTCCCGTGCCGTGGTTCACCTCCACGGTCGGTCTTGCCATCGCTTGGGTCCTTGCCTGGCTTCACCGGGGACTGTGGCTACATTGAGGGTCTGCCCATCTCGGCAGCCTTGCCACGGCCACCCTGGGTGAGGTAGGCTTTCCAGATGCGCTTGAGTGAGAGAACAGATAGGCGAAGGGACTGAGCTTGGAGAAGCAAGGCAGGGTGTGAGCTTCTCCGGAGGAGGTCAGGAATGGAGAACGAGCAGATTGAAAGCACTGTGGACCACACTTCTCTGCACGTACTCGACATTTCACTAAAACACATGGAGTGTGTGATGCCACTGATGTATGAAGGAGCCAGAGCAGGAGGATGATGCCCAGGAGTGAAACTGCTGGGAACAGAGAGAGTGAGAGAAAAAGGTTCAGCCGACCCCAATTTATAGTTTGTCTGGGACCACGGCTCCTCAGACTAATCCGGTGGAAAACCCGGCCAAGGGTGTCTGTCTCTTGGGCCAGGCTTGGAGAACACAGTGTCCACTGCCTTTGGGTTGCCTGGGTTACCAGGGGACTTTTGCAGTCAGCACAACACACTGACCTGCGACTTAATTAGATGCTGCCATTTGGAGTGGAGAAGAAAACACTTTCATTTTTAAAAGGTAGAAAAAAAATCTACTTTTTAAAATATAAAAATCTTTATGCCTAACCTCTTGAAAAAAATTTGTACCATACAGAAAACTTGGGAAGAAGGTAATAGCTATCATCTGGCATCCTACGTACAAAGAATTCGACTTCTTTCTACGAACATTCGTACACATACTCATACTTTTAAACATAAGGGGCAACATTTGGCATCAAGAGTATAAGGCAGGGCAGAATCATTAAACCACAGGTCCTAATCCTTTTGCAAACCTATCACTGACCCCTGGTGGATCTTTCTGCTTCTGCTTGTCTACTTCCTCCAGCCTGACTCCTATAGCACCGCTGGAGCAAGCACCCTGAGCCAAGGCCCTAACTGCATCACCCTCTCTCTCCAAATCCTCGATGGCTCCCTACTGTCAGCAGAATGAAATTCATCTATGTGGGTTTTTGTGTGTATGTGTGTGTGTTTTGCTTGCTTTTGTGGTGGTGGGGATAAAGCCCTGAGCCTCAGGCATGCTAGGTGATAGTTATACCACTGGGCTACGTACCCAGCCCAAAGTTCATAGTTTGAAATCTAACGTTCCAGATATTTCCCTGTGCCCCCAGCTACCTCCCTAGTCCTGTGCCCAGGGAGCCCCTGTCCACGCTCCACGTTCCTTCTCTCTATTCCCCATTCTCAGCGTAAGCCTCCTCTCTATCTGGTGGCTTTGCTTTCCTCCTCCTCCTCAAAGCCTTAGTTTGTTCCAGTTTTAGACCCAAGTGTTTTGATCTCTCTAGCACAGCGACCTCACCAGGTATCTGTGTTTCTCACAGGGCTTTACCCTGACCAGCTGTGATCTTGTGGGCCTGTGATAAGCGAAGGAGCCATCACAGAATTTGAGTTTACATTTAACATTGACTGAGTTCTTCAAGTTTGGGGAACCAAGAAGAGGGTCCTAGGGATGTAGCCCAACATCACAGCTAAGAGCTAGAGTCAGGGCCTGACAGTCTGGCTCAAGTCCTGCCTTTAACACTTCCTAGCTGTGTGGCCCTGGGGAAGTCACTCACTGTGTCAGCTGCATCAACTCATGCATAAGTAGGGCTCACATGCACACACAGTGAGATGAGTTAATGTGTATGAAGTGCTGGGGACAGTCCTGGGCAGGGAGTCAGTTAGACTGAGTACATGTTCATGGCCAGGATTATTGCTTTTACTGCCAAAGTTGTCAGCTGCCTAAACACCACTTTCCAGCTCTGCACAGGCCAGGAGCTACTGTGCAGCAGGTACTGTGCAAGGATTTGCATACACGGCCTCTTTCACCCTCCCCTGACCCCATGAAATCAGTTCTACCAATACCAATGGCACCAATGAGAGAAGGGATGCTGACAGCTTACTCCTAGGCCAGGGTCACATCTGAGCAGAGGCAGGCAGGCTCAGCAGGATCAGCTAAGAAAACCACCTCTGTTTCTCCACTACCCAAAAGATCCAGTACTAGTGCCTGCCTGACACACAGTGGGTGCTTTGTATACATAGGCTGAGTGAACAAATGAAGAGAAAACCGTGGGAACCATGAAGGTGAAAATACTGAGAAAAACAAAGAGACTTTGCACTTCCACAGACAGGAGACCCAAATCTCCAGGGGTGTAGTAGGAGGTGACTTATTTGCAAGGC